CCCCAGCCCCCCCAGTTGCGCGGGGGGCCCCGCCCGCCGGTGTGGCAGGTGCGTCTGGGCCCCCATGAGCCGCCCGGACCGTGGAGCCTGTGGCCCCAGGTCACTCGTGATGTCCCCCAGCACCCGCCTCCTCCCTCCTGCTCAGGACCCAGCCACAGCTCCAAAACCCGCCCAGAAGCTCTCAGGGGTGATTAGGGTAAAATGAGCCCAAGGGTGGGCCCGCCGCCATCAGGCCTGCGCTCTTATGCGCAAGAGGCCCAGAGACCTCTCTGTGCCAGCGTGAGAACACGCGAGGAGGCTGCAGCTGGCACCCTGACCTCGGGCTTCCGCCCCAGCACCGTGGGAGACAGCCCTGTGAAGGCCCCAGTCCCTGGTCCCTGCCGGGCTCTTGGACAGGGGCTTCAGAGCAGCAGGCGTTCTCTCTCAGGGCCCAAGGCTGTCCAAGACGCAGCCAGTGGGGAAGGCTCTGAGAGGCGCTCTCCTGGGACGGCCACCTTCTCGTGGGTCCTTGCATGTAGCTAGGGGACATGAGCGCTCCGTGTCCTCCCCGGGCCCTGACCGCATGCGTGAGGGCCCTGCCTCCTGGCACCCTCGCACCAGGGACCAGGGCTCAGCATGGGAACTGGGGGACACAAACACAGCCCAGTACACAGCCCGAGCCTCACTAACAGACTCCAGTCACGCCAGGCACCGGCCAATGCGCGAAGGCCGGGAGCCCACGTCCACCTGCCCCTCCTTCTTTCTCCTGGGACCCCTGGATCCCAAGAAAGCCCTCTGCCTCCTGCTGGAGGCGGAAGGCAGACGCTTCAGTGGGGAGGATGCTGGCGGGGAGGATGATGGCAGGGCTCTCCACTGGGGCCTCTGAAAAAGTTCAGAGGCCGTTTTTATTGTGGGGACAGGGCCGAGGGGGAGCAGTGCTGCTGGCGACTCATGGTGGAGGCCAGGGATGCTGCCCTGCTTCCCACCATGTGGACAAACGGTGTGTTTCTGATGGCTATTTTTAAATGCGTTCACAAGCACTTTGAAATGGTCTCGACATTCCTTCCTAATGTAATACACAGGAATAGACACAACTCCCACAAATAAATGTGCTTCAGGTCCTCAGTAAGTTTTAAAGGTGGCGGGTGTGGTGGCCTGTCATGCCAGCACTTTGGGAGGCCAAGGAGGGAGGATTGCTTGAGCCCAGGAGTTCGAGACCAGCCTGGGCAACATAACAAGACCTCATCTCCACCCAAAAAAAAAATCAAAAAAACTAGTTGGGTGTAGGGGCACACACCTGTAGTCCCAGCAACACAGGAGGCTGAGGTGGAAGGATCGCCTGAGCCCAGGTCAAGGCTGCGGTGAGCTATGATCATGCCACTACACTACAGCCTAGGTGACAGAGTGAGACACCGACTCAAAAATAATACTAATTTTTAAGAGTATTCAGGGGTTTTGACTTCAAAACATTTGAGAACCACTGGCCTAGAGCACATGTGCCAAGTCTGGTCTGCAGCCTGCATGTTTCTTAGGTGTAACTGGCATGTGGCCATACCCATGCAGCCACGCCCATTTGCTTCTACACCGTGCACAGCGGCCTCAGGGCAACTAAGGGACCAGGCAGCCTGCCTGTCCACACAGCCAAAGATACTGACTCTCTGCTCCTACAGGCCTGACCTCAGGATGGTGGAGGACCAGGACACAGGGACCTGGATGACCCCAAGGGGCACAGGCGCTGACCCATCCTAGAACGCCTCTGGACTGTTACAGAGAAAAGAGTAAGCCCTGTCGTATTTGAGGCTATGCTTTGGGGGTCTCTTACTTTCAGCAGCTTGGCTGTATCACAGGCCGACAGGAAAGTCCTCTCGACCACAAGGCAGCGGGTGGATGTGTGATTTGGTCCTCACCATTGAGACAGAAAAAGTCTGTTCTGATGATTTTCCTCCTGACGTGAGGGCAGCTAGCTGGGACTCCCTCTGTTTGACATTCTTTCCTGTGGGGTGCAGACACTGCTTGGCACTCCACAGCCATGCTGTGACCATAAGAAGAACACCAAGAAAATCAGAGGCCGGGCATGGTGGCTCATGCCTGTCATGTCAGCATTTTGGGAGGCCAAGGTGGGAGGATCGCCTGACCCCAAGAATTTGAGACCAGCCTAGGCAACATAGCAAGACCTGGTCTCTACAAAAAAAATTAAAAATTAGCACATGCCTGTAGTCCCAGCTACTCGGGAGGCCAAGGCAGGAGAATTGCCTGAGCCCAGGAGGTCGAGGAGGTGGTGAACCATGATGGTGCAACTGCACTCCAGCCTGGGTAACAGACTGAGACCTCAACTAAAAAAAAAAAAAGAAAGAAAGAAAAACAAAGAAAATCACATGGCTAGGAACTCAGGCCAGAAAGAGTCTGCTCGCAGTTTCTGGTCAAATCAGAGCAAAGAAATCCCTAGAGGCCAGGCCCTGTCACCGAGGCACTGGGGGTGGGGGGCAGCAGACGCGCTCCTCTCCTGTCTCTAACGTCACAGTCACCCGGCGGGCCTGTAGTGCTCATGATGCCAAGAGCCAGCTTGTGTAGGCAATCTCCAGCCCATGCAGTAGCCATTGTCAGGAGAAAAGGGGGGCCAGGGACAACACCTTTTTTTTTTTTGAGTTGAGGTCTCACTCTGCCACATGGCTAACCACAGCCTCAACCTCCTGGACTCAGGCAATCCTCCCATCTCAGCCTCCCGAGTAGCTGGAACTCCAGGCGTATGCCACCATGCCCAGCGACTTCTTTTAGATTTTTTTTTTTTTGTAGACACGGGGTCCTGCTGTGCTGCCCAGGCTGGTCTCGAACTCCTGGGTTCAAATGGTCCGCCTGCCTCAGCCTCCCTAAGTGCTGGGACTACAGGCATGAGCCCAGTCCAGTCGAGAGAACACCTTCACCCCCAAGGCATAAGGTGTGCAAGGGTCTGACCGTTGTGTTCCCCAAATTCATATGGTGGAACCCTGATCCCCAGGGTGATGGCACTAGAGGTGGGACCTTTGGGGGATGAGGTCCCGGGGGTGGAGCCCTTGCAGATGGGATAAGCGCCCTGACACGATTGGCCCCAGAGAGCCCCCCACCCGCTTTCACAAGGAGGTAGCAGCCAGCTGCCGCCTGGCAGTGGGCCCTCACCAGAACCCACCCAAGGTGGCACCCCGGTCCTGGGCTTGCAGCCTCCAGCGCCATGAGGAGTAGGTGTCTGTTGTGCATAAGCCACCCTGTGTGGTACACTGTCACAGCAGCCCAAGCGGACTGAAGCAGGATGTGGGTGGCAGGGCTACAGTAGCCCCCTGGAGAGCCCAGGGTCCTGGCCATCATGCCACTAAGCACAAACGTCTTCTCATCACCGGCCTGGTGTCTCCCTCTCCCACCACCCTAGAGTCAAATCGCTCCAGTGAACACAAAGAGGTTTTTGTTTTTTTTTTTTTGAGTCAGGGTGGCACCATCACGACTATGGGAGCTTCAACCTCCTGGGCTCAGGCGATCCTCCTGTCTCAGCCTCTTGAATAATTGGGATTACAGGTGTGCCACCACACCCAGCTAGTTTTTTGATTTATTGTCAAGACGAGGTCTCATATTGCCCAGATGAGCTCCTGGGCTCAGGCAATCCTCCCACCTCAGCCTCCCCAAGTACTGGAATGACAGGCGACAATACTTGGCAAGATTTTTTTTTCTCAATGTAAATCACATATCATGTCCCTGCTCCATACCCTCTAACTGCTTCCTGTGATGCTCAAAATAAAATCCAAGTTGCTCACTACGGCCACAAGGCCACACACTTGCCTGCCTTCCTCATCTCTTCTGCTTCTCTCCCTTGCTTCCTTTTTCTCCTCTCAGACCTAAGGTTACTTCCTGGTCTGGCATGGTGGTTCAAACTTGTAACCCCAGCACTTTGGGAGGCCAAGACAGGAAGATCACTTGAGCCCAGGAGTTTGAGACCAGCCTGGGCAAGTTGGCGAGAACTCATCAAAAAATTAGCCAGGCATGGTGTGTGTGCCTGTAGTTCCAGCAATTTGGAAGGCTGAGGCAGAAGAATCACCTGAACCCAGCAGACAGAGGCTGCAGTGGCTGTGAGCGTGCCCCTGCACTCCTGCCTGGGGGACAGAGTGAAACTCCAACTCAAAGGAAAAAGAAAAAAAAAAAGGTCACTCTGGCACTGGAAAGGTATTTGAGCCACAAAGCAAGGCCACAGGCATCAAGCCGACCAGGCTCGCAATCTCAGGGGAATCCCAGGTCACCGCATCCCAGACCATCCAGAAAGTGAGCTCTTTAGGGAAGGGACCAAGCTGGACTCCTCGCTGGGCCTGCTCCCAAGAAAATACATGCTGAGTGAGAAGTTAAATCATCCCCCCACGCGAATCAACCCTGGCACGCAGCAGTGCCTGGGCCCCTGCTGTCCAGCTGCCTGTGTCTGCACAGGATGGTCCAGCCCAGGGCCAGGCACCCTGGATGCCCCGGCGACTCAGTGACAAGTGTCCCACAACGCCCCGCCCTGCCTGCCCAACAGCCCAGTGAGATGGGGAGATGGGTCCCACCATACCGAGACAGAGAGTGAGGGAACTGTGAGTCAGACCAAGACCCGACTCGTGTCCACGCCAGGTCCACCCAGAGCCACGGAACCAGCACCCACACATCCTGGGTTTGTATCAGGGCAGGGAATCAGGTCATGGAGCGTGGCCGCCTGGTTCAGCTCCTCAACCCTCAGCATGAGGCTGGCCAGGGTGGCTCATGCTTGTAATCTCAGCACTTTGGGAGGCTGAGGCGGGAGGATCCCTTGAGTCCAGGAGGTCGAGACCAGTCTGGGCAACATGGCAAGACCTCGTCTCTGCAATAAATCTAAAAATTAGCTGGGCGTGATGGCGTGCCTATAATCCCAGCAACTCAGGAGGCTGAGGCAGAAGGATCCCCCCAAGCCCAGGAGGTTGAGGCTGCAGTGAGCCACAATCACGCCACCG